TAATGCCTTTACAAAAATATTTCGATTGGCACACATATTTTAATGATTCATTTAACTTATTAAATAATTTTATTCAAATTTTTTATCATGTGGCAACCCTTTAAAAAAAATAAAACCCTTTATTTTGACACCTAATTTTTCTTAAACCGCGCAAACAGTTCAGATCTGATGTCATTCGCATGCTACTTTATCTCTGTTGGATAGCCATCAATTTATCCTAAATATCCATGCGAAAGCCTATGAATCTTAACTCGATGAAGTATCTTCACTTTTTACTAGTAACTTTTTACTTATCTCGGCGCTATATTGTGTCTTAACTCCAAAGCTTAAAAGCTAAAATATGACAACCTAAGTGTGAAACTGAATCAAACTGCTAACAATTGAATTGCAGCCGAGCTCTAAGGTATCTATTTTTAAAGTTTCAAGTCTCAACATTGTACTGAAATCTGGAGAAATAATCTACGCGAGTGCTACATTTGCTGCAAAGTACATATTTTATTTCCAACTTCTTTTAAAATTGATTAATTTTTGTGACTATTTATCACCTTTAATCCATTTATTCCGACAGGGAATGCATATTATTGCATACATATGTGTATCAGTTCCACTATATGGCATATGTACATGCGTGCTTATTTAAATACTCGTGTGTTGGTAAAACTATGCAAGCGATTGTGTCATTCAAAGCAACACACACACACAAAAGATGAGTTCGATATCCAGTAATGTGTGAAGAATCGTTCTAAATATGCATACAGCCATATCCATTTTTAAGTAACGGGAAAACATGCGCGTATTTTGATGTTTGCATTCCGTAGTTGCCCTCCTCTGTACACTCTTTGTGGTACATAAATTTAAGTGAACTTTCCACATCTCCTTTAAGTTACTTTGCTAAAAAAGCATCGTACACTGAGCTGAGAAATTTTTAATGAAAAACTTAAATAACTACCGAAGAATCTGGCAAGTGCTGATGCCACAACATATTTTTCTATGCTTCAGCAATTCCCATACTAGCCAACATACAAGTCATAGTACATAAAGTAGCTAAAACGAAAGAGTTGAGCAACGAACCCGAAAGAATAAATTCTATTCTAGTAAAATGTTAGAAAAAGAAATAATGCAATAATTACTTTGCGCATTTATTGCAAAACTCTTGTGCCGATATACATAGATACTTACATATATAGAAAGCAAAAAAGCTAAGGTGCTCTGAACAATCTAGAACATGTAGAGGAAATGCAGCATTTACATACATAAGTACATGCTGCAACAAATGTTCAGAATCACTCAAAAGTGTATATGCACGCATACAGATAACCGGAAAAGTTATTAAATTTTCCTAGCAAGTAAATAATTTGTCGCTCTTTGATTTTCATCAAATTGTTTAACCTACCCAAAATAAACGATTATCCATTGCAGCAACTAGCGTTCGACAAGGAACACCTAAATATTCACTTTTAAAATTTTTTTTCCAACTTTTTTTTTTTGTTAAATATTTTTCTTTTATTAATTTCAGTTGCACTTCTTATGCTCTTACTATTTACTCTGCTAAAACTAACACTTTTCCTTGATTGTTGTAAGCACTTAAGAGTGCTTGTAATACTTATTTATTTCTCAATGAAATTAGAACAAGATCCGTCAAAAGCTGCCACTCAACTGAAATGTTATTATGTGCAACCTAAACATTGAACCTCTGGATGTTGTGGCGCAGCATAAGACCACTTGTTAGTCCATGGAATTCAATCTCTTCATCATTGTGGCTTCCAATGTCTCTTTGCCAATGCCAATGCCATCATACTATGAAGCGCTATGAGTTGTAAATGTATAAAGTTGACTTTTCTTACGCTCACCTCTATGTGTATGTATGTATCTATCCAGTTCGAGGAGAATTTCTTTTCTTACATTTCTTCGTGCACTTTCTTCTTTGGTGCTACGTACAATTATGTACGTGTATACGATATTAACCAAATATATATAAGTATTTATGTGAGTGTAAATTATATGTGCTAACTAAAGCGCTTGTGCCGGTTACGTGTAGTTGCTTGTTTCGCTTAGAGCAGATTGTTGGTTTAAATATTTTACATAAATAACAGTGCTGTTAAATCACTACATTTCAATGATATGTAAATCCATATATACACTGTCACTCAGCAGAATAGGTTCAGCATGATTTCAACTTTAGGCTGTTTTTGCAAATGGAGTTTCGAAGCCAGTTAAATTCCCAATAGAACAACACCAAAAAAGGGGCAAAAAAGGGGGGTTTTTTGATGTTTTTCAAAGAATGGAGAAAAAAGAAAACTAAATCTTTCAATAGAATAGGTTCAGTGTAATTTATTACTGCTTAAGTATGAATTAGCAATAAAAACACATATGTTTCTTTCAAATTAGCTATTTTTCACTCATTTGTAATGTTTAAGTACAACCTCACTGATTGCTAACTACGTCGAAAACTCGATCAGGAATATAATCGTAAAGGGACTTTAAATAGTTTAAGGATACATCGACCCCCGCGGCTTGAATGACAGTAATTAAGTTTGTTTTATATTCGAATTGCTTTCCTGAGTTTCGTGTAAGCCATCCCCGATATTAAGGTCTGGAGAATATGGCGGCCATTCCCAGTTTTTAACAACCCGTGCAGTGAGTGTTGGAGCATTATCTTGTTGGAACTCCAGTGTATTGGCCCAAATGAAATTGAAAAGTGTTCCCTTGCCAAATAATGCCATAATTTTTGTTGAGTGAAATTCCAGCTTGATTATATCGAAATGCAATAAAGCGCCCAAACCATTAAGCCTCCTTCCCGGCTGCGATGGCGTTCTAGAAATTGCTGCTTTTCACCACGTTGGTGAAAGTAGTTGTAATAGCCGTCGTGCCCATCCATGTTGAACTTTTTCTGATTCGAGAAAACAACATACTGCCACTTTGTTTTCTACGCTATGGCGCGCCATGTGATTTTTATAAGCAAACAATCGTTGAGACTTACATTGAGTGTTAAGTGAAGGCTTTTTTAGGCTCCTTTCTCTTGAGATGTGTAGCTTTGTTAATTAAACTCCGGCCAGTAGAAAGACTGGCAAGCAAGCTGCTTCCCTAATTTTCGGCACTGAAGTAGAATAGTTTTACGCTTATCTCAGGCTGCGGACAGCAGCTGATAAGACCCTTTATTGGCATCCTTTCATATTTTTCCGTACTGTTTAAAAACTGCATATTTCATTTTGGCTTGGTGAAATAACACAAGCGGCAATAACGCAAAATTTGCTTTATTTCACTTTTACAAGTCTATTCTGCGCTGGTAATAAAAAGTTTGTAACCGGAAAATAAAGTTCCTGTCAATTTTTAAACCCTTTTCGCATTCTGTGTACTCTTGTAACCGGTAAATTTTGTAACCATCTCATAAGCTGGTAACAAAGTATTGCCCCGTGAAATATGCAATGCCAAAATTTGCACAATTCTTCATAGCTGAATCGCTGAATATTTTAACTGCATTACCAACGTTCCTAGAATCGCGGTGACAAGAACTGGTAACATTTTTTGGTAATAAAATTTCCCGGTTACAAAATCTTCGGTAACGCGCAGAATAGACCTGTTAATGGAAATTAAATTCACTAGTAACAGTTTAATATTCGATTCAACTACAGATATTACGGTATTTAACCACTTAGCTACCGATTTCAATATTCGCAGTGTCCACTAACATAAGGAGTGTTCGCTATGCAACTGCCCGTAAGAATTAGCCAGTAACAAAATTCAGAGAATAAGGTATCTTACTCTCTCAAATAGAGAAACTTACTGAGTTTTGCGCAAACAGGAATTAGCAAACATTTGCAAGCTTCACTGCCAGCTGGCGTCCACGGTTGCATTACGAGCATAATAAAATTTTTAAATTATTTCAGGTGGAAACCAAAACAGGACCTATACGTATATTTCTTCTTATTTTGACTTTCTTCAACATACGCTTCAATTTCTTTGTGGAAGTCACTGTCGGATTTCCTATATCGACAGCGGTGCCGAGTGCGTTCCGATTACGAATACAGCTTTTTCAGCCGAGTACCTTTCAAATGTTTGGAATTAATTATATTAATTGAATAAACGAATATTTACATACTTCTTTCATTAGTAAATCGCAACAAGATTGTTCATTTTTAAATTTAACGAACTCGTTGATTCAAATTAATGTTGACAAAATGCAACCGTGTGCCACAATCCTGCTTGCAAATTCTTACTGGCGAAAATTTTCCCAGCACGAATTTGCAACTTCCCCTCCAAATGAAATGTCAAAATTGTGCTCTCTCCTTGCAAGTTTTACTGGGTTTTTGGCTAAACGAACACGATTTGGTAACAATT